ATATAACATGTTTATTATTATATCTCACAACATTCAGTATTACGGGGTTTTACATTATCATTCTTAAAAATCTTCCTTTTAAATTAATAGAAGATGATGAATTTAAAGATTTATTTACAGATGGTTTTTACCCCGTATTTAAAAAAAATTCGTCAAACTTGTCAATGTGATATTTTAAAACATTATCAGGAGGAACAAGTAAAAATAATTTCTTATTTTCAAAGTTTAAACTATAAATTTTCTTTAACTTCTAATATTTGGACATCTAAATCATAAACTGGTTATTTATGTATCACAGCATACTAGATTAATAAAAATTGACAAATGTTTAAAATAGTTATTTTCTTTATTGCATTTGAAGAGTCACCTACTAGTATTAATGTTACAAACTTAATAATTGAAGAACTTTTAAAATTAGAAATTTTAGAAAGAATATTTTTCTCTTTCACTAGATAATACAATTAATAATAATATAGTTGTTGATTTTATCAAAACATCTCTGCCATTGCCATGTAATGGTGATCCTTTTTATATTAGATGTATCTGCCATATTTTAAATTTAATTGTTCAGAGTGCATTAGTAAAATTAACCCCATGATAGAAAATGTTAGGTCAGTAACTTATGTTCATAATACTTCTGAACAAAGAATTAGAAGATGGAAATAATTTTATAAAAGAAAAAATGTAAAACCTAGACTAATTCCAAAAGATGTTGACCATAGGTGGAATTCCACCTATGCAATGGTAAGTGTAGCATTAGACTATAAAGAAGTTATAAATAATTTTATTGCTTTTTATACTTCTAGTTCCAGCTTTGATAACATATATGGAATAACTGAAGATGAATGGACAATTATAAATAATTTAAAAGAGATGTTACAAGTTTTTTATGATGCTACAATGTTATTATCTAGCTGTTATTATCCAACCATTACTTTAGTTGCTTTACAAATTTTAAATATTCAAATTTTTTTAATAAATATCGTATGAATGATTATTTTGAAAATATAATTTTCAAATGGAAAGTAAATTTAATAAATATTTTAGGCTTATTCCTCTAATTTTTGGTTTGGGGGTTCTAATGGAAAGTAAATTTAATAAATATTTTAGGCTTATTCCTCTAATTTTTGGTTTGGGGGTTCTTATTGATCCGTGTTTGAAGGATATTGGCTTATTTTAGGCTTATTCCTCTAATTTTTGGTTTGGGGGTTCTTATTGATCCGTGTTTGAAGGATATTGGCTTAGAAGTTTGTTAAATTTCTTGTATGGTGGACAGATTATAGACACTGATGATGATCAAACCATTACTGCTACTACTCATCATAATACTATTAGAAATTAATTTTAAAGATTATATGATGAGTACACAGCTAAATATGCTGTAGCTACACATCAGTCTACAACTTCGGCTTCTTCGAGCTCAAGTCGGGGCAAAAGTGTAAGTTTTGATAGATATGCAATGGTAGAGCTGAGCTAACTGGTAGATCTGGACTTGGATCATCATTGGAGGTTTCTGAAATTGATCAATATTTAACTGCATATTTAGTTAAATATCAAAATAATAGTTTAGATATTTTACAATGGTGGAAAGTATATGGAACAGTTTCATATCCTATACTTTCCATCATGGTTCGTGATTTACTAACAGTGCATATTTTTACGGTAGCTTCAAAATCTACCTTGATCAGCACAGCCGGACGTTTGATCGACGACCACAGTATATTGTTTCGTATACTATACATGTGGTGACGTGCTTACAAGATTGATGGAGGTACGAGAAGAGAACGTAATGAATCGATCGGATGGCCAATATTAAAGATAAATTTGAAGAGTTGGGACTAGCGGATAGATATAAAAAGTAAATAATATTCATCAAATTGTAATTTTTATTTCTTAGCTAAAAATTTATAATAAATTATTTTAAAAATAGTTACAAATAATTGTGATATAGGTGAGTAGGTGTCAACCTAGTTAGGATGTACTCATCTATTGTGAAGCGACGAATTCGAAAATAAATTTATAATTGTAAAGGATTAACTGATTATTAATAAAGAAGTTATTTTTATCTTTTTAATTTTTTTAATTTTTTGTATTTATAATTTATGTAACTTCAAGTGATTAATAATATTATTGTTTTTTATTAAAAATTTTGTGTAATTCTTTTTATGTATTATTAAAAATTTAAAGAGGAAAAAAAATTTGAAAAACAAAAAAACCGGACTGGTTCGGACCCGTGCTCCGATTTTGTCAGGCCTGGACCCGGTTTTCCGGACAGCACCGGCCCGTTTGGACACCCGTAGTTGAACCTCCATGTCACATCAGGACGAAGCTGTGTACAGCTGCTCTGGGGGTGCCTTGGCCTCCTTAAAAGTTTTTGATTTTGATATTAAGTTATTGTAGCTAGCATCTTGCGGTAGACAAGTCCATGGATCGGATGGGATGGGCCTCACTTGCAAAAGGATCTATACATCATTTTTGCCTAGTTTGTCTTATTAGACTGGGCCCCATTTGCAACATATAAAATCACTACTACAAAGAAGAAGTTGAGCTCTGCTGACACTTTTTGAAATATTGTAATAAGCTTTGAATTTATTCAGTTAATTTCTTTACAAGTGACCGGAGCAAATAGATTTCCAGTAAACCTTAGGGTTTTGTAGGGAAGAGCAAATAGATTTCCAGTAAACCTTAGGGTTTTGTAGGGAAGAGCAAATAGATTCCAGGAAATGTCCGGTAACCTAACATGTTATTATTCAGACAAAAAGATGAATCAAAGAAGTACTAAACAAATCTAATTACCCACGAATTGTTTTTCTTTTAAATAAAAAAAATCGGATAAAGCTGCAACCTTTTACTACAATGAGCATCTATCAACGTGATTTGGTTAGGAAATCCAAATCCCCGCCGCACACCCCTCTAGCATTCCACAAATAGAGAGAGAGAGAGAGAGTGAGAGAGAGAAGAGAGAGAGATAAAAGAAAAGAAAAAAAACCTTTTATGAAATAAAAAGGATGTTTTTGCAGATGTATCTTTTCTATTTACAAATTTACCCACGAAACCTCAATGTTTGCAAAATTACCCTCTAATTCTTTCATATGAGATTTTTCTATCCTCCCACATAACAATGTCGGTTCTTAATCTCTACAATATTAGAAATTTCATATGAAAGAACCGACATTGTTATGTGGGAGGATTTCTTGTTTAAAATTGAAACTCGTAATGCCTCGTTTGGTACGTAGGAATGAAGTCAAGTGAGAATGGAATGGAAGAAGGAATAGAATAGAATGTATGTGAGAATGGAATGGTCATTCCCATTATCTTGTTTGAGTGCGTTTGTAGAATGAAGCTAGAATAAAAATCTAATTCTCATTCCCATGTTTGGTATCACTAGTTCACAAGTGAGAATGGAATCTCATTTTCTAATAATGCCCTTATAACAACATAGATTTTTAATAAGATAAAATGCCCTTATAACAACATAGATTTTTAATAAGATAAAAATAAACATTAATGATAATAACTAAAAAATTTTTATTTATGCATATGTTATATTAATCTAGGTATGTGTTATACTAATGCGCATGTTATCGATCAAGTGTATGTTTCGTTTATATTTTTTAAACAATTCTCACTATTTCTGCATATGTTATATTAATTTAGGTATGTGTTATAATAATGCCATTATACCTCTATATATACTCTAGACATGATATGATTTTGATAATTTTAAAATTTGGCCAATTTCTCAGCGAGAGTTTCCTCTTTTCATAAATATTGTGTCAAATATTTTTCAATCAAAAGTTAGATTTATTGTTGTGCATGAACCACAATCAAACATGTACGCAATGGGTACATATAGTTCTCTATGGTGGGAAAACAATAGCAAAAGTTCAAAAAGAATATAATATGCTGGTGAAAATAACAGACTTTAAACATTGGTGAATAAACAAAAAAATTTGATTGACCAAAAAAATATTGACATGAAAGAATTTCAATCGGCAAATAATATATAGTTTCAGTTGTATCTGTTTTTTTAATTTTGAATTGCGTTGCTCCTATGTTGAGCAATTGTGATATAATAGGCTAATAAAATATGTACCGCTAGTTTTAATATGCTACTGAAATATATACCACTAGTTTTAATAATCCATACCCCGCAAAAAATTCTTATTGTTCGAATATAATTAGTAGCTAAGAGAAGATGAGAATACGTAGTCAAAAGCCATGATTTTTAAATTGATTCTTATTATTAATAGTTGTATAATTAAAAAAAACCTAATTAATTTGATTCTCCCGAGAATGACCATTCCCTATCTTCTCACTTGGAATGCTCATTCCCATAAAAAGTAGGAATGACCATTCCAACATCTAAAAACAAGTTTTGTTTGGTATGAGAGAATGAGAAGTGAGAATGATATTACATTCTACCCATTACCGCGTACCAAACAGGGCCTAAGGGGCAACATTTTCTTGTTCAAGCGAGAGGGATTAAAAAGATAGTTTTGTAAATATCAAGCCTTGAGAAATAAATATGCAAGTATGAAAGACTTGACCCCAACAAAATAATGAAATAAAAAAGAAACGGTGGACCGCCAGCCACTCGCTCGCGCAGATGCGGCATCCGTACGCGTATTTATACCCAAACTTGCTCAATCGGATCCAAAGGCCCAATTCGAAACTCAGAGTCCAAAACGCGCGATGAAGGACCCCCAGTGTACCGGCCGTGCGTCGGGTCCGAGCCCGGGTCTACGCGCGATACGCAATCCGCAGCATCCGGTATCGTTCCTCTAACGTCGCCGACTGCCGTCAGCAGCGAGGGCGAGCGGCAGCGCTTCGCACTGCCGTTGTCGGTCCAGACCTGGACCGCGACTCCGCCGGCACTTTCTAAGACACGATTTTCAGCATCGGCGGCGAGAGTAGGCTCCATAGCTGCCTGGGCTCTTCAGAGTCCTCGGCGTCTCAGATGATTGCCTCCAATAATTTTGCTAGCGGCGGGTGAAGATAACGGCAGTAGTCCAGGCGGCGGCGGCGGCGGCTGGGGATGGAGGTGTGTGGGGACCACTTGATGAGGCAGAGTAGCTCTCCTGCTGGATTCTTCTCGCAGCTCATGGTCGACAGTGGTGAGTTCCCTCTCTATCCTTTGTTACAGGGTCTTTTTAATATTAGTCCCTCAAGTCTTTCATATATTGAATTAGGTCCTCAAATCATTGAAATCGCTATTTAGTCCTCCAATTCTTGATTTTATAGCCCCTTTAATTAAGAGTAGAGTTAAAGGGAAGTTAGTCCGTCAAGTCATAATAAAATTTCCATAATTCTCATAAAATGTTTGAGATTAACCTCTTAGTAATTAATGAATCTAATAGCACTTTTCATAATTCGAGGGATTGACTTCGGAATAACTTTAAGAATTAGAAGACCCACTAACAATCTCAATGATCTAAGGGACTGATCTCAAATATGAAATGATGTAAGGGACTAATATCAAAAACCCTTTTTATATTGCACGCCCATTTAAGCTTCTGTACTCCTTTTAGTTTTCTTTGATGTTTAGTTAGTTGAACTTGGAAGCATTTTAATTGATCATTCAATTCAGGCAGTTTAGACCCATTATATTTATCAGTTTTTCTATAGAGTGCCCATCATATCGGTTCTCTATAAGAGTGGAGATAGATAGAGAGAAATGAATTATGCACAGAAATTAATGCAAATCAGGGGAGCCCATGGGTTATTCATTTCTCTCTCTCTCTCTTCTCTCTTATAGAGTGCCCATGAGCACTCTATAGAAAAACCGTATATTTATTTGTTTCGTTGTAATCAGTAGGAATCTTATCAGAACTATTCTTATAGGAGTTGGTGTTTACACCAGTTAAATAACTACAATTTCAGATTAACCATCTGAGCATCCGGGAGTGGTATATATCACTCCATTCTACAGGGTGTTTTTTTATAGAATCTCTACTCCATTGTAAATACGAAATGCATTTGTGAATATAAATGTTGAAGTAAGTTGTAGATGCAATACTTTTTCAGTTGTACAACTATAATTGAACTAAAAGTAAATATTTGTAACTACAACTACATCTCCAAATTGCAAATCTAACATATAACTACAACTCCATTGTATAGTAAATGAGTACTCGGAGTAACTGTAGTTGCATGCAACAACACCTAAGAACCAAACAACCCTTTTAGCTTATAGATAAAGCTGGTAAAAGTTAGTGTGAATTTATTATTAGGCTGTCTAATTTTAACTGTAAAGGAAATGATAGGGACACATCCCCAACCACAACTCCAACCATACCCTCTCTCTCATTTGCTACAGTATACCGGGCCCCATATGGGATTTTAAAAATTTAAAATCCTATGTGAGGCCTAGTGTACTGTAGTTAATAAGAGAGAGGGTGTAGTTGGAGTTGTGGTTGGTGGTGTGCCCCTAGTGTCACTCTATCTGTAAACTGCCTTTTTGAGAAAGCAAAACCGCCTTTTGACGGCGGTTTTCCGTTTATCGAAGAGCAGCATTTATCTTCTCATATAATTATAATTAATAACTGAAAACTGGGGGGTCATAGTCCGGGTGCTTGACCAAATGACCAGAGAAATACTTAAAATTTACTACAGTGCCCAGGAGCCATGTCGGTCCAATTATATTGTGGCCCACGATAGTGGTGGCCCAGTGACCGTGGGTGAGCTGTAGATTGCTTGTTATGGGGTTTGTGGACCATGTGCTCATGTCTAAGTACACTGGATCAATTAGAGATTGATTATTTTATAATAATTGAAAAAAGAGATTGATTATTTTATTATTTATTTATTATTTATTGGGGTAGTATCTCCATATATTGTATTGTTTGGTTCTTTCTATTTGGAGACAAATCATGTTATTTTTCTCTGTCTCCCACGTGACTTGCGCTGCGTTAATGGTGTGGTGTGGATCGAGAGAGGTTAATCTGAATCTGGGTTGGGATTAGTCTCTCGAAATTGTAGTTTAAGTTAGGGGTCATCTCTTAGACTCTTAATATTGGGTTTTTTTTTGAAAGCCTTGTTTCAATTTTGAGAAACATTATGTTACTTTCAGAAGAATATACTATAAACTTTATATAAGTACTTATGAACTTTGTAAAGGTAACAACTATATAAATATTAACAAAGATTCACATTATAACCTTAACCTTTTAGTCAACTTACCTAATATTACAGTAGACTGAAGGAAAATTAATTCTTTTTTAGTAAAACTTAAGCTAATCCTTAACAGTTCTACACTAACTTTTTGTACTACAACTCTATATACAAGTTCTTTTTGTTAATGGTGTCTTAAAATGTTCGTTTGAAATGTTTATATATTTTGTATGAGAAGTAGTTTACTTACTGTTTTTGGTTGCCTCGATGGATGTTACAAAAGTTAGTTCTTCTTTTTCTTTTCTTTTTTTTCTTTTCCTTTTGAAATTCATATACAAGTTCATGAAAAATTACATGAACAGCAGAAAGATGATGAGTTGAGTGCCGACAAGTATATCAATCTTAACTAACTTCACCCAAAAGTTAGAACTATTAGAAAATATGCTAAATATATATCAACCAACCCCTGGAACCTAATAACCTATGATGGATTCATAAGGCAAATTGTTATTTGGAACTATGGTTCAACAAATATACCATTCTTTGCTTTTTCTAAGATAGGACCCTTGGTCCAACCTATTACATAGAGGATACAAGTACAAGCAGTCCTACAGTTGATGCTAAATTGTCTATGTTGGGCACAGAGTCACGCTCACACGCCGCGGAAGCGATATAACCCGAGAGAAAGCTTTGGCTTTTGTTGTCACAAAAGCTCAAACCAACCTTTATATTCCCGTTTCACAAAGTAAACAAGAATAGAAAGTGAAATATCTCAACAAAGTAAAATATACACTCTTCCTCTCATCAGTTCTAGGACTGACTTATCGAGGGAACCTATAAGCAATAGCAAACACACAGTAAAATAGTAAAGATTCGAGATTTACATGGTTCGGCAAACTTGCCTACGTCCACGGGAGGGGTGAGGCGAGATTCCACTATGAGGAGAACACCGACGACTTGTACAATCCACAAGCTCGTCTTAAGAAAAAAAATTTTGATTTTTACCCAAGAAGAAATTGACCTCTCTTGTAAATCTCTCCTCAAGATCTAAGTTTTCCCTCAGATCTAAGTCTCCTAAACTCTCTGTTTATCACCTCACTGTAGCCGAAAAACAAAGCCCTTACTCTGTATTTTTCCCCACTCAAAACCCTAGGAAGAAAACACGTTGGTATTTTTAGGAGATCGCGTTTTTTTGGGTGGGCCGCACTGGGCTCCGCATTCGTGGTGCGCTCGAGA